GGATCCACAATCAACGCTCATGGAAGCAGCAGTCAAGAAATCCAACAATGCACTGCACTGGGCAAATCCACTGCAAAAGATCTCTTTAAAGTGTTAAAAAGCAAAGATGTCACTTTAAAGACTAAAGTGTGCCTGAACCAAGCCACGGTGCTTTCAATCGCCTCATATGCATGCAAAAGTTGGACAATGAATAAGGAAGACGAAAGAAGGATCAAGGTCTTTGAATTACGGTGTTGGCGAAGAATATTGAATATACCATGGACTGCCAGAAGAACAAACAAATCTATCTTAGAAGAAGTACAGCCAGAAAGCTCCTTAGAAATAAGGATGGTGAGACTTCATCTCACATACTTTGGACATGTTATCAGGAGGGGCCAGGCCCTGGGGAAGGGCATCATGCTTGGTAACGTAGAGGGTCAGCAAAAAAGAGGAAGACCCTCAACAAGATGGACTGACACAGTCGCTGTAACAATGGGTTCAAGCATAACAAAGATTGTGAGGATGGCACAGGACCGGGTAGTGTTTTGTTCTGTTGCACACAGGGTCACTGTGAGTTGGAACCTACTCAATGGCACTTAACAACTGTAATAGTGGATACATGACATAATACATTTGTCAAAACCCAGAGAAGTGTACAACACAAAGAGGGAATCCTAATGTAAACTGGAGACTTTCGTTAATACTGATGTATCAATACTGGTTCATCAACTGTAACAAAAGTACTATACCAATGCAAAATGCTAATAATAGGGGAAACTGTGTGCAGGGGTCGGGGGCTGGGGTATATATGGAAACTACTCTGTACTCTCTGTACAGTTTTTCTGTAAACCTAAAACTTCTCTAAATATAAAGTCTATTAAAATATACTGTTTAAACCAGCCTCTCTTTTGATATATATACAAATCTCAGGCACCTCAGAGATTTCAACATTCCACAACCAAGAACCATTACCTTCCGCATATCCCACCAGACCTGATTTGGTTCACTCTACTTTCTAAAGTTAATAAAAGAAGGCATTAAAACGGGCAGTTCAAAATGGTTCTAATACTTCCCACTACTTACCTAGAATAAAATCAACATTTGTTCATGTCTTATTCGTTTAGTAATCAAATATATTCACAGTCCATTTGTATATATTTCTACATTTTTACAGAAGCTCTCTATTTAAGCCAATCTGGTTTATTCACCAGTCACTAACCGTGCCGGGTGTCAAGTCAAGGTCCAAGGCCGCCAAGAAAGACACGACTCACACACAGGCATTGAGTGGAATAACGCTTTACTCACATGGAGAAGACACAGAGCAGGATCAGCTTCAACAGTGGGTGTCAGTCCTCCTTGGCCAGTGGGCCACTTCCCATAGCAGCCAACACAGGGACGATGGTCTGCAAACACCCCTGTCATGCTGCAGGAGAGGGACCCTCTTCCCTCCGCACCAGAACAGATATAGATACGAGGTTGGCCAGGTGCTACATAACGCAGACATTTAGCTAATCAGTGTCTGGGAACGTTGGCGTGCTCAGAGTAAGAGAGGATGGATGTGCTGACAGGCCATCAGCTATTACAATAAAATGTGTTTGCACCAAGATGCCCTGGAGAAAAGTCAGCTCACACTCTCATTCTGTCTAAGAAGCCAGGTGGACACATCTGGCCCTAAGCACAAGGTTCATCTGCGGGTGACAGGGAAAGATGGCAGGCTGCGTGCAGACGGCCCCTTTGCACAGTCTATCTTCTGACTCCTTCTGGGACCCAACAGACAGAGAAGCAAAACAACTAACATTGTTGGTATGCCCACTGTCCATTTTGAACACTGAGCTGCACGTCTATGGCATGGTGTATGACTCTGATGGATGTCACTTCTGAACACCATTTGGGGGCCGCGTCCTTCACTGACTCCTTCAGGGACTGTAACGCACTGGCTGTGCACCATGTCTGGCTGGAAGGTAGAACCTGTGCAACTGCCTGGGGTGAGGCCTGAAAAATCACACACACATTTTCATCCAGAAGCTGAACTTCCCAACTCCAGGTTTTCCTATCTCCACATATTTTTAGCCAAACTTTGGAATTGCTTCGAAGCCCTGAACAAAATCCTACCTCTTCCATGAGGCTTTCTGGGGTTGGTACTGCTACAACACTTAGACTACACTTGTCTGTGGCATTAATTTCATAATTAACAATGAGATGCATTCTGGCTTCTCTTACACTGTTGCAGTTAAAACAAAATAAAAAAAACAAACCCACTGCTGTTGAGTCGATTCCAACTCACAGCGACCCTATAGGACAGAGCAGAACCGCCCCACAGGGTTTCCAAGGAGCGGCTGGTGGATTCAAACTGCTGATCTTTTGGTTAACAGCTGAGCTCTTAACCACTGCACCACCAGGGCTCCTTGTTGCAGTTATTTGTTCCTTTATTCTTGTATTTATTTTTTACATATTTATCTTTTGTCTCCCGAATCAGACTGTACATTTCTTAAAGGCAAGGACTTTATACCTTAAAAATCCCAGCTTTCTCACACAGTATTCAGCACAATATCTTAAGCTTAGTATTTTAAGCACAACAGAGATATAACATTTGCATTTTTGTAGGAGTTAAAGGCCCTGTGAAAGTACATGGTAATGGAATTCAGAAGACTGGCCGCAACAAAATACTAACAACACTTGAAACAATTTACTGGTTGGTAAGTACATACTTTGGTTTCTTTCTTGCTATGATTGGTTATTATCTTCTGTAGTTTGCTTTTTCATCATTAAATTAATATAACCACAGAGCCAAAAATTTAGAGAATAGTCTGTTATCATACTTTAATACAACTATTACTACCATTTTGATGTTTTTCTTTCTAGTCTTTTTTTTTTTTTTAAATGATTATATTATACATTTAATTTAATGTTCTTCTCTTTTTCCTAACAGAGTCTTCACAACCATCAATTTTATTGGCTACAGAACATTCTATGGAATTTTATTCAGTTGATTTCTGGAAATGTTTTTCTTTCTTAGAATAAAGGAAATCAGTAACACTGTAATTAGTTTGAATAATGATTCCTGTCTTTACTCAGTGAAGGTCCCTGATCTGTCGAACCCTGAGCCACCCTACGTGTCCCTCTTTGGCTATGCGAGAACAGCCTAAGTTCAGAGTAGATTTCTCATCTTTTAAAATCTATTTCATGTTAGCAGCTGTGAGCCTCACCATAACTGTAAAGATATTCTGTTACTGCAAAACTTACATGAGATGGGAGCTATTTCAACACTTGTTTGGTACAGGTTTCCCCCTTTCACCTATATCATTTATTCAACTGTGTGCTTTCTCTATCTGCCGAGCAGCAAATTTCTGAAATCATGTTGACTTTCCTTGCTATCAGTTACTTCCCTTGCCTTGGTTCAAAAGGAGTGGGTGGGTAGGTGAATGGAGAGTAGGATAAAACTCACAGACACACTCAAATGTACACTTTTATAGGAAAATGCATATTTTATGTATATTAATATTCATAACTTTATTCAATGCCATCTTTTCTTTTGACACACTGGGAGTATTATATTTTGACAATACCCAACTAAAAATACATGGACTTTAAAAAAGGCATTGTGGGATATTTATAAAAATGTTACTGATACATTAAAAAAAGTTTACTGATAAACTATCTAAAGTTATAAAACAGGAAAGAGATATACTTGTTTTTTAATTTGATTATATCCTATATTCTGCAGGTTTTTAAAACACTAACATGTTAATGTCTACATCTGTGGTTAGCAGTTTTCTAAAATTTGTAAACATGACTAATTTGGAGGCTCTTGGGGGCTGATGGAGGGGTCAGAGAGCGTGCAAAGCCCTGGAGAGTTATATAGTGTACATTACACTCTTTCCCCAGGGCAAGACTTGCTAATGACTTTGCCATCTCCCAAGATTAATAATCATTGTTTTAATTGAGTTCATTAATCCAGCTAATAAAATCAATCAGCAAATTAAAAAAAAAAAAACCAAAAACAAACTTGTATTCTATCACTTGACTATCTGCATCAAAAAGTGTAAACTAAAATTTACCCAAAACTAAAATTATATTCACCTTAATAAACTACAGTACAGGACAACACAGTGGAGTGTGTGTTAATGTCCATCAAACAACACTATCACACCTCCTGCTTTTGCTGCCTTGGGATACAGCTCCACAACACTGACCAACGAGCTAATCTAGTGGACTGAGTAAAGAGCATCAACACTAAAAAACAGATGAGTCCGATGGAAAGACTCAAACCACAGAAATAATTCCTTGTGTTCTTCCTGTGAGCTGACACTGCTTTACCCACACTATCTTCGCAACGGCCTTGTGCAGTGGGTATTACCATCATCCCATTTTATAAATGAGGAAAAAGAGGCCTCTGGATATGACATCTCATCTACATTTTGAAGAACAGGCTGAGGTGTTCCTTGGCAAAATGAAGGAGCAGGAGGATGAGAGTGAGCTTTGGACATTTTGCAGGGGGTGGACTAGACCACTTTCCCATCTAATACAAAAATCCTTTTAACAGTGACCCTGACAAATGATGAAAGAGCTGTATGTTTTGTGAGTTCCTAACAAAAATGAGCTTGACTTACTGTGTGGAGTCTTATAAAAAACAAAAATTCACATGTCCTCTTGTGCAAAATTCATAATAGATGTTACTCTTCTCTGGAATTAAAATGTAAATAAAAAACGACTTTTAATATTCAGGTTTTAAGAGGTCAGATTAACTCCTCCAATTCTATCTGTTCCATATATTCTGGATATATGTAAAGAATTAACAATAATTACTTTTTGGTATTCTCTAGAAAATCCTCAATAGGCTTCCCTAATTTGCATGCCATAAACTACACCTTACTGTATTCGGGAACTGATGACACGCCATGTAACATACTAGAATAGGCATCTTTTCAATCTGTAATAGTTCTGAAAACACTGAAGTTATTGTCTGACATGTGACCAGGTCACAGAGACAGGGAGAATATAAAAGGTGAAAACAATCTTACCAAAGTCTGCAAATGCCGACTGTCCAACCACCACCATATTTTGAGGTTTTTCAAGTATACTACTGGCAGAGAAATTTCCATCCTGTTAAAGGCAGAAAATTTTGGATTAGACCACCATAATCTACTCATTTGTCAGATGTGGAACAAAACGTTTCAACTGAAGCAGGGAAATACATAGTTTAAAGCTTTGGTGAACTGCACAAAATTATTCCAATCATCTACTTTCATCATAAAATAAAAGAAGCTGCTGGGAGGTGACGAAGATGAGCATTTAGAGTGTTTTCCTTGCCGGTGATTCTGGCTGGATGCTCTTTACCGAGTCATCATCAGAACTTCAGATGCAATGAGTGTCTTCTACTTTCAAGTACTGTGGGAGGCTTTGGGAATGGAAGGAAGTAGGAAACATAGTTTCTACCTTCAAAGAGCTTAGAGTTTATCTGGGAGAGAGCATGTAAGTCAAGAAGGCAGAATTTCTCAAGGTAACATGTAAGTGGTACAAGTAAGTAGCAAAAGCACTATCTTTTATGGATTTCAAGGAAATAAGGCTCTATGTTGGGGACAATTAAAAAAAGGTGTCAAAGTGAAATAAGAACGGTACTGTTCCTTAAAGGGTCACTTGTTTCCAACTCAAGTTGATGTATCAATGAGAAGAGAAGCAAAGGGTTACAATAGCTGTCACACAGTCATCAGAGGCAGCCAGGCTGAAGAGACAAGGAGAACCCATCACTGATCCCTCGTTTTAGTCACTCTTTCCAAAATGGAGCCGTATACACCTGACTTCCAAAAATAACATGCATTACTTTAAATTACTGTCTTTTCTTTTCATAATTTCAGATTATTACACACACAAAAATAAACCAAAACACCAAATTCGGGATTTTGAGCCTCGATTTTCTAGAGAACTCTCTTCTTATCACTAAAAACTTAATTCACTGATGATATACTGACTCTGCTTCCTATAGACCGACACACTTTTGAATGATTTTTTCCCTTCTTTGTTCCCCTAAGGTCACTGTAGATCTGCAAGTCAATCTCGTGAGAAATCATTTCTGACCTTTACAGAGAAAGGCACTGGAACCACAGAAGCACAAACACCAAATGCTTGTGGACCACGAGTGAGTAAGATTTGTCTTCTGACAGGCAATTTTCCACCCATTTTAACACTCCATCTTCCACATGCAGAAACACGTTTCCCCTGCCATGACCGATGCAGCCGAGGGACTTCTCACGTCTTCTCTACAGAATTCTCATTCCCGGGAATGTCTTCAGTCTCACGGCCCCCTCTGCTCTTTCTCATTCCCGGGAATGTCTTCAGTCTC